ATTTACTCAGAATCTTACCTTTTTTCTTAAATCTTCTCTTCATAATACCAAATTTACTTTCCATAATCTTAATTACATTACTCATTTTTATTAGCAAATCCATTTTACCCAGAATTATTTTCATACCTATTGACCAATACTTTTAACTTGCTATATTTTACAAATGCAGTTACTAAAATAAGCCTTTTTGCGTATTATATTATTCAATGTTAGATGTAATTTTTAACTTTTTTCGTACTTTTTAACGTTTGTGATCTTCAACATATTCTGTATTTTAACTTATTTCTTAGATTTTCTGATTGTACACATGACCTTTATTTAAGTTTAGGTGTAAAATATTTAGCTTATTTTCTACATTTTAACCTTCATAATATGCAATGTACCCTAATTTTTAACTAATAACTTTTAATTTTTAACCCTTCGGAAAATCAAGTAAAAGATAATCTCTTATCAAAGTGTGACGTCATCTTATGGGCTAACTGAAAAATCAATAAACGCTCCTTCTTATCTGCTGCACCTCCACTCTACAATTTCTGCTCCTTCCGCTGATACCATGCATGACATAACCTCCCTTCCGCTAACGTCACTGACCACGCCCACACCTTACACCTCACAGCAGAACTGTCATATTCTATCTACTTAAATGAAAACAGCATTCGGTAAATTACATTTTGTCATTGTATTTCTTTTAAAAATAACCATGAGTTTTAAATTTGAACCGTCCGCTAAGCAGGAAAGCACTGCTGTTCAAAAATTATCACCAAATTTGTTACCTCAAGAACTATTTATTACTCGGAAATAATAAATATCTCTTTAGTAAGTTATGACTCTACAATAATTAAATAATTCTTTTACTCATACTCTAAAATAAAAATTTAAAAAAAAACAGTTACACTAACTCTCTGAAAAAAAGAACAACATAGTATATTGCCATTCTCTGAAACATAAACTGTACAAATCATATATAATAATATGAAGAGATCATCAGAAAAAAACACCTTATAGAGTAAAAAAAACGATTATATCTGCTTAAACCTCGTGCAATATTACTCAGAAGCTGCAGTAAGAAAAAAAAATGTAAACAAAATATTAGAGTCAAAATATTGTTCATCCTCCCACCTTGCAATATGAAATTCGGGATTGAGTATTGCAAAATATTAAAAAATTAAACATTGTTCTCACAAGTCCTTCCTAGGTTTCTAATTGTCCTTCCTGATTTGGTTATCGTGGGCGATTTTAAATGGATATGGATTATTCTATTTGTTTCTACAGGTACATCATCAATTGGAGTTTGCTCTACCGAAATATTTTCGCATCGTTGACTTCCGCTGAATTTCGATGAAAGTTCCTCGGCAGTCGATAATTCCAAAGGATAAATATTTTGTACAGCTCTTATGACTTCTCCATTTTGCACTTTAATTCTGGCTCGTCGACTTTCACCGTCGGTACCTGGAAATAATTGTATGATTTTATCAAGAGGCCAATTTAATCTCCTTTTGTCATCGCTTCCAATTAAGACAATATCTCCTTCTTTTAATTTACAACTTCTAGCGAATTTTTTGCTTGTTGTTTTCAAAGTTCCGAGATATTCCTGGCGAAATCTTTTCTTGAAAACCTGGTTAACATTTTGGATATAACGCAATCTACGTTTATAAACGTTAGAATTGAAGTCATGTTTTACAAATGGCACTGAATGGCTTTGTATTTCCCGTAAAAAATTTCCAGGTGTTATGGAAGTAAAACTTGAATCAGCTGATATAACTGTTAAAGGTCTGTCATTTAAGATAGCTTCACAGTTACACAAAACGGTACACATTTCCTCATAACTAAGGCAGGCTCTCCCAAAAACCTTTCTTAATATTCTTTTCATCATTCCTATGAGGCGTTCCCACCAGCCACCCCACCATGGAGAGCCTGGGGGAATGAACTTCCAAATAATACGTTCATTAGCTACCTTTTTTGAAATTTCATTGAAATCAATTGAAGCAAGTGCATTGCATGCCCCAACAAAATTTGTTCTATTATCAGTATAAATTGTGGATGGCTTCCCATGTCTAGCAGCAAAACGATGAAACGCTAGTAGAAATGTATCTGTCGTTAAGGTTGTAACCAGTTCCAAATGAACACAACGGTACACTGCGCAAGTTAATAGGCAAATCCATGCCTTCTTGTGTTCTCTTAGGAATATAGGTCCAGCATAATCTATGCCGGTTATTTGAAACACTGAGGCATCTTGTACCCGATCTCTAGGAAGTGGTGGCGCTGGTGGGTTAACATTTTTGTTTGAATAACACTTACAGGTTATACAAGTTTTCAAAAAAAAAAAAAAAAAAAACGGATGACACAACTCTTCTTTCCGCTAATATACAAAATCTTTCTCTTAAAGAATTTAGGACGTGAGAAACTCCAACATGTCCTTTCAACTTATGTTCTTCCATTATTAAACTTTTTATAAGAGGATGATCACTTGGCAAAATAGCAGGAGTTCTGAACTCAGGTGTATCTTCTCTTTGAAATATTGCTGTTTTAGTTCTGATGATCCCACAATCAATGAATGAATTAAGACTTAAAATCCGTTTATCTTCTATTCCATTAAAGGACTCATTTTGTATTAAACGAATCAAGATATTCTCTGCTTCATTTAACTCAGATACTGTAAGTTCATCTTTTTTCTTGTTTTGATGTTTACAGTAGTAAACAAAACGACACATCCACGCTACCAGTCTGATTGTCTTACGATAACTTGAGAATATAGTAGCAACTATTTCACTAGCATTAAGATTTATTAAGGACGAAATAATCCTTTTCCTTTTGTCAAGAGCTATTTCTTCTTCATCAGCACTAAAATCTTCTTTTGGTCATTTTTCTGGTGATAAATATAGCCATTCAGGACCTTCTCACTATCTAGATTTAATTAAATAAGAAGCAGATCATCTTGTACTGGGCAAATCAGCAGGACTCAGTGATCCTGGTACGTGCCTCCAAGATTCGATAGAAGTCAGTCGCTTTATTTCCATAATTCTGTTGTGAACCAACGACTTCATATAACAGGTAGACGGCTCACCCACAGAGAATTCGTCTGCTAGGGTGTCTCCAACATATACCACGTGACTAATGCTCTTGGTGCTCTTGGGGAGTGATAGCTTAGGCTGTTCATCGCCAGTTTGGCCCGCTTTTGATATGGCAGGTAGTACTTTTTATTTCCGTCTGCTAGCAGTCAGCAGACAACGGCCTCGAATTAGGTTGTTCGATTTTTTACAATTATATTTAGATATAACTTAACCCCTTTTTTCCTGAATATTTTATCTATATTTTTAATAATTGCTTTAAATTATTTGCACCATTGTTTAAGATGTTTAGGTTAAATAATTTTAGGAAGAAAATCTAAAATAAATAATAAAAAATTGAGATGGAAGCTTTAATTTTGAATAACATAAAAAATTAATTGCACTACTGTTATAATATTTGAGAAGGTAAAAAAAATCTCGTTTAATTTTAATGCATTGCATCCTAAAGAGAAAAAGAAAATCATATTGTATTATATGTATTTATGCCATTGATTGCCTTTCTTTTCTTGAGATTATATTACTGGAACAAAATAATGCACTCTCTTTTCTTGAGATTATATTACTGGAACAAAATAATGCAATCTTAATTACTGATTTCCACACTCAGGTGTATGTCATGGGGGGGATCAATACATCTTATTAACTATAAAAATTATTTTATATTGAATATGTATCAAACGGTAACAAACTTCAACTCAGTATTTATTATTAGGATCAAAACGATATTACAGTTAAAATTTCTCTCACTCTCCTTTTTTTAAAAAAAAATACTATTTAAAATATGGTAAGTTTTTCACATCGCATTTTTTCAATTACAATAAATTTCTAACAGCATCGTAGATGAGACAGAATTATAATCCAGATTATTTTTATTTTAATTGATTTTAGAAAATAATGATAAAGCATTGAGCTTTATAAAAGTAATCTGATTTTTAAAATAATGCTGTTTAACTGTTTATGTTCAATGTTGCATGAATCAAGATCTTTAGCTTTTTTTAAACAAAGTAAACATATCGCACAATCTTTTCTCAATAATTTAATGCTAATAATAGCGTTTTTCTTTTTTTATTGCAGGCAGTTATTGTTTATGAAATCAAAACGCGTACGACTTGGCGAAAAAAGGTTAACGCCAATTGGCGCAGCTTTCTATTTCAACAGAATACACGGAAAAAACATATAAAATTCAATTATTTGTAAAGGGTGATTCCAGTAAATAGTGTCACAGTATTTAATACATTTTGATGCTAATAATACATGCTGAAAATGTCATATACGGCGGCAATTTTCTTATACAATATGGCTGAAACTTTCCAACCAATTCAACAGAGATAGTAAAATGACAAAAATACTGAAAATAAAATAATAAATCATGCAGTTTTAACTTACCTATGAAAGGTTACAAGTCCTCCTTTCACGAAACTTTCTTTACATCCGTAGGCGCTGCAGCGAATAACCATTTTTAATTAAATTTTATGTGACCAAGCAGAGCAGCAGTCTTTCGTCCCATTGTAAAGTAAGAATTTCACGTGACACTAATCGGACCAGTCTGTTGTGAACAAATACGTCCCATACTTCATTTCTCTGTATCCAAGCTAGCACAGTAGACGAATCTGTCCAAAAATAAATATCATCAGCTTGAAATTCAGGTATTATGCTGGATGCTAAACGTGCACATATTGTAGCTCCAAGAAGTTCCAATCGAGCTATTGTTGTCTTTTTCCTTCCGCTGGGTGCAACTCTCGCTTTAGCTTGCACCAAATGAACTTGAACCGAATCTCTTGTTTGTACTCGAACAAAGGCCACAGCTGAATATGCAAGTTTACTCGCATCACTGAAGAAATGAAGTGAGATATTTTCAATCTCACGATCACAGTTTAACCATCTTGGTATTCTCATTCTTTCACAGTTTAACCATTTCTTTGGTCATTTCATTCATTCTTCCAGACACTGCAAATCATTCAACCATTTACAAAATTGTGATTTTGAATTTGAATCAACTTCTTGGTCCCAAGATAACTTAACTTCCCATAGGTGCTGAAGTAAAAGTTTCGGCACAAGAGTTACGGGGCAAGCTATTCCTAAAGGGTCGAATATTTTGTGTGTAGTAGCTAAAATCTCTCTTTTAGACAAAATTTCTGGTAGATTGTAGGTGATGTTAGTAATATTAAGGCAAAGGTAATCTCCACATCGTTCCCAAATCATTCCTAATACATTTGTGGTACTAGAGGAATTATCTGTTGGGTCACTATATTCCCAACCACGTAATTCTAGCTTTCTTGTAGCTAAAGTATCTGAAGCAACTTGTATGAATTGTTGCAATTCTAAATCATTTTTCACACTCGCTAAACAATTATCTACATAAAAGCTCTTCTTCAATTGCTCAATAATATCCACTTTATACTTTGGGTTTCCATTTAGTTGTTTCAAAGTGGATTCTAGAAGATGGTGAATTACAGAAACTAGCAAGAAAGGGCTGCTTGTAACTCCAAATACTACCCTACAATGCCTGTAATACTTCAGTTTTCCATCAGTTCTATACCATAAGAATCTTAGATAGTCTTTATCCTTAGGGTTGAGACTTATTTGTAAGAATGCTTTTCGTATATCTGCAGAAACTCCTATTCTGTTCATTCGGAATCTATGAAGAATTGAAGGAATCAGTTCGATAAGGTTCTGACCTTTTTCTAGACAATCATTGAGACTAGGGGATCCTTTTTGTTTGGCCGAGGCATCAAACACTGGCCTGATTCGTGTAGTACTGTTTTCTTTTACTACGTGTCGATGTGGTAGATAATGGCATGTTACATCAATTTCGCTTTTTGGTACTTCTTCTATGATGCCTTCTTGTTCCCATTCACTAAAAACTTCTCCATAAGCATCATAAAGTTTCTCTTTCTCAGCTTTTAGTCGTTTTACTGTAGAAGCTAATCTCTTTACAGCTAAGTCATAGTTATCTTTTAACGGTAGATGGTTATCAAGCCATGGCAAGCTGACTTGAAAACGCCCCTCTTCGTTCACCTTTACAGTAGACAAGAAATGATCTCTTGCTTCTTCTTGAAGTTCCAGTTTACTTTTCTTCTCTGATGGATCTAGAATTCCAAGTGAATCTAGAGACCATAGATCGGATATCAATATTTCCTTATTCAACATGGATGTGACGAGCAGTGCGGAATTGTCCGAGATCTCACGCATACCATTTTTCCCGAAAAGAGTCCAACCAAGTTTTGTTTCTATAGCAGCAAGGCCTGAAGTAAGCAATTTAAATCCTCCGGTCATCAACTTGCCTGCAATGTCAGCGCCAATAAGTATTTCTATTGGTCCATTACTATCGTCGCATACGGATATATTGTTCTCTTTAAGCTCTTGAATCCACTCGCCATTAGCAACTGGTGGTATACTTCCACAAATAATATCTTGGCTAAGAGCTTTGAAGTTACAATGATAAGTTCCATCCGTTTTAGACAAGAACACTGTAAAAACATCGTGGTTTATGACATCAGTACATGACCCGCCAAATAATGAATGGCTCAATCTTTCTTTAGATGTACTCTCAAATTTCATTTCATCTGCAGTGCTTTTTAAAATATAAGATCTCTGTGAAGCTGAATCGATAATAGCACGGGCCTGGCGCTTTCTATCTCGCCCTTTCAATGTAACCGTTAAAGTTTGCAAAAACACATTTGTTGTTCTCGCCAAATTGGCGAGGGTTTCATCTCGTTCAGGTACTGCATCCGTATTTTCATCCTTATTCATGCTAACAGGAACTGGAGATTTTGATTCAGCTTGGATATTTCTACATAAAAGTATGTGGTGTTTCTTCCCACAAATCACACACGATGTTCGTTTTTTACATTTAGCTATTACATGTTTTCTGTCTAAACATAAAGCAACTGCGACTATTTAGAACTGCTTTTTGCCTTTTCCTCAGACGTCATCTTTCTTGCTTTAACGCAATCACCAGATGCATGATTTCCAGCACAAAAAATACATCCAGTTGAATTTTGTTCAGATGTTGCTATTAGAGTAGAAGCAGAAGGTGTTTTGGAAAATTCTCCACGGTTTTTGAAACCAAAGTGTTTAGCATTCCCAGGCTTAGGTGTCTGATATTTAGTAAAGCACTGAGTAGCTATAGATACTCTCTCTTCACCTTCAATTTCATCGAGCAAAAATGAAAGCAAACCATCTAAATCCATGCGATGTGTTGACGCATTTTTCTCTTTTTGCTCACTACTTTCAGATTCTCTCTGACTGCGATTAATAACTCGGAATCTTTGCCATGCTCTTAATGTATCATCCGGCAATGACGATTCGACTAGAGGATATAACATCGCCGCATATTTATCTCTAGCAACACCCAGAACTTCTAACGCTCTTAGTTTTCGATTCTAAGTTATCATAGAGTTTTCGTAATGAAAATTTCTGCTGAGAGTTTTTTAATAATACTAACGAAAGTAGATCTCTAACATAGACTTCTATAAGAAGGTCTTCTTTCCCAAAACGCGATTGCAGTTGTTCTAAAGCTTTACTATAACTTTCGCCACCGGGCGGAAAGCTTTTGATTAACTCTTCAGCAGATGACCAAAGGAAAGCTTTTGATTAACTGCATTCTTGCATGGAATAGTCAGAGCTGCATTTCCATAGCTGCATGGAGAAGTTTCTGGACAGCTGCATTTCCATAGACTGCAATAAATACGCAAATTTATCATGATCATCTAAATCGGGATCAGTATTGATCTTTTTTAACTGGCCCCAAAATCCTAACCAGCTTTTAATATTCCCATCAAAAATTCGGAGTTTAAGCTTAGGATAACGAATAGTAGCATTTTGAGTTAACCTTTCATTAACAACAGAACCGTTTTCCTTTTCATCTAGAAGCGAAACTAATTTGCTTTCTACCATTCTCCACTGATCTATATACATTGACTACCAATAAGTATTTGGACACCTGTGATAGAAAAGAAAAACTAACTTTATTCAAAATCAATAGTTGGTAGAGCCTCCATGAGAGGTAATTACAGCGTGGACCCCTCCGGGGCATACTTTCCACAAGTCTTTGTATGACAGCTAGTGGTATTTTTTTCCACTCGGCTTGGAGAAGAAATAGAATCATCCCTGATTTTGCACGGGTAGTGCACCCCTGAATTCGGCGATGTGACTCGTCCCAGAGGTTCTGGATAGGGTTCAGGCCTGGACTCTGGGCAGGCCAGTCCATTCGATGCATTGGCACCATACCAAGCCTTGGTTAACGTCGAACCATGACAACTGGCATTGTCGTCCTGAAAGTAACAGGGGTCCAACCCGTAAAACTGCCACAACGTACGAAGCACATTGTCATCCAAAATAGTGCAGTAGGCATCAAAGTTGAGCTTACCATGCATGGGCACCAAGGGCCCATACCAGGGGAAACACCCCCAGACCATAATTCCACCTCCGCCGAACTTGACTGTTGGCACAATGCATTCTGGCAGGAGACGTTATCCAGGTAGACGCCAGACCCAGACCCTGTCATCCGAACGGTAGAGGGTGAACCTTGATTCGTCACTCCAAAGAACCCGTTTCCACTGATCTACGGTCCAATTTCGATGTGCTTTGCACCACATTAACAGAGCAGCGCGGTTGGACTTTGTGATCAAAGGCTTACGGGCAGCAGCGTGACCATGAAAACCAAGCAGATGTGCTTCCTTACGGATGGTATTCATTGAAACAATACTCCCGGATGCCTGTTGAAACTCCTCGCGGATGAGGGCCATCTGTTGGGTGCGGTTCTTCCGAATTTCTCTGGACAGCACACGTCGGTCTCTATCTCCCAGTTTCGTTGGTCTGCCGACTCGGGGCACATTCCGACAATCACCGCTCACCTTCCACTTCAGGCCACTGTCGATTTTGGGTACTTCAGATCGCTAGATATGTCCCTTAAAGATCAGCCACATTTGTGATACCCGATAATAATACCTTTCTCGAAATCAGAGAGCTCTGAAGTGCGAGGCATCTTGCATGCGACTAAAGCCGATGCTGTTTCCTACACGATATATACCGGCGGAGTCCGTGACGTACCTTAGGACCGCAGATATCGTCATTCCGAAAGATTTGGATAATAAATTGATTAATTTCCAGAAGTATGTTATTAACCTACGAAGGCAAAAAAAGTAATTAACTGTCACATATTAAAATATGGATGAAACTCCAGTAATGCTTGTTATGATAGGAAATGAAACAATTGATGTGAAAGAAGCAAACACGGTTCACATAAAAACATCAATTCTTCTCTATAAGTCTATTTCAATCATAGGTTTCGCTTTGTCCTCAACTAATTTAAGTTTCGAAATTTTTCCGTCTAAAGATAAATCATTTTCATTCTTCTCAAAATCATTTAAAGCTCTTGTAAACAATCTCCTAAACTGAGATCGTTTGCACTTCAAAACATTCATTATAAATAAAAGAAAGAATTCTACTTACAGATAACAGTCCTTCCAGCAGATGCTAAATGTTCAAAAATTCTCACCAAATTTGTTACCTCAAGACTATTTATAACTCGGAAATAAGCATCTATATCTTTTTAGTTATTTATGATTCTACAATAATTAAATAATTCTTTTGCCCATACTCTAAAATGGAAAAAAAAAAAAAAAAAAAAAAACCCACAGTTACACTAACTCTCTAAAAAAAAGAACAACATAGTATATTGCCATTCTCTGAAACACAAACTGTACAAAACATAGATAATAATATGAACAGATAATGAATAAAAAAAACCCTATAGAGTAAAGAAAACGATTACATCTACTTGAAGCTCGTGCAATATTACTCAGAAGCTGCAGTAAGAAAAAAAAAAATGTCAACAAAAATATTAGAGTCAAAATATTGTTCACACTGCTGTGAAGTGAAATCTTTCGTGACCTGTTGTTTTTATGTGAACCGTGTTTGTTCCTTTCACATCAATTGTTTCATTTCCTATCATAACAAGCATTACTGGAGTTTCATCCATATTTTAATATGTGACAGTTAATTACTTTTTTTGCCTTCGTAGGTTAATAACATACTTCTGGAAATTAATCAATTTATTATCCAAATCTTTCGGAAGCCTTTGCGAAACTTTTTTACCCTCATAGAACTAAATTATTCCGTGCCATAAATCTACTACACCAAGTCAAAATTGCTTTAAAGTTTTTACTTTCATATGCATTCTTTTTGGCCCATTTTGAAGGCAAATAAACGTATACTGTTTTCTGTTAAAATTCATTCATTCTGGGGCTTTTCTACCACCCAGTTGCAGCACTTTCTTCTGGAAAAGGCCATTTTGTTACTCCGTTACACAAAACGTATTTATTCTTTAGAATATTAATTATTGTGATTTCATTGTTCTGTGATGTATGGAGCTTTTACCAACACCAAACATCGTTGCTGCAGTACGATTTCCATTTTCCTTCGCAAAATGAATGGCTTTGCATCTGAAACCAGCACTGTGTTTCTTTTCGCGGAAGCCATATGTACTGCTAAAATGAATTCTAGATCAACTGTATTTCAGCTAAAGCAAATGCGATTTACTAGGGCCTTCGATTTTCACTTCAAAAGACTACAGAAAGAGAAAACATCTAACTCCTAATTCCATGAATTCATTCAGGTTGGAAATGCATTCTTACTCCAAATTATATACCCTTTTTCTAGAAACCTGTACAACAGCATTCTTCTGGACAGCTGTATTGAATACAATGCACCCTCTTTGCAGAAATATTTACTTCCTCAAGCATTTAATCCACACACATATTGTTCCACTTATCGCTTATCAATTCGGGGTAACATTGCTTGAAAGGCTAGGACAAATGTTTGAATAAGTGACCTTAAAAAATAAGAGCTCTGTACATGTAGGTTTTAGGTTTCTTGGTGAAGAACTTGGTACGCGTTATACAGCGAATATACCTAAAAGTTAAAGAATGTACAGGGTTGCCACTCAAACAGGAGAATGAAATTCCCTGACTTTTCCAGGTTTACCAGGTGTGTTTCAAGAAAATTCCAGTCTATCCGCGTAATGTACGTTGGCTGTGCTAAGAGATAAATTAATTATGGTATTACTTGTATTGTGTAGCAAATTCACTTAATTATTCAATAACTCCCAGAGGACATTTATTCTTAATTATTCTTGGTATACTTTGCTTGATAATTTTGTTTAGTTTTCCACTTAAGAAACTTAATAAAATTTAAGATATATAAATTGGATAAAAAATGTATGTTTTATTTAATTATTACTCATGATCATCACCAGTTCAACACGAGGCTAATCCGGTCCTTATAAATCACAACGCAATGCTAAAATAGTTAGGTTAGATTTTAGGTAAATTTAATTTGCGTGAGGTATGTTCTTAAAAGGCACCTTAACACTTGAAAACACAAATATAATTATAATAGTTGTTGTTTTCTCCACTGAAGATTGAGATTAGAATCTTCCCAATCTGGAATAAAATAAGGCTTTTTTTGCAGACATTCTGCAGCTAAACGAAAGAAAGAAATCTATTTAATAAATTGAGCTATTTTATATTTATTTCGCAGCATACATAAGGAAAAAATATGTGCATTAAATTTCGTGATGGTATGTCATCATACTGCTATAATTAATTTCAGGATTATGCCAGAGAAAATTTCCCGAAATTTGGAAATATTATTTACTAATAATAAATAAATTTAGAGGGAAGAAGCAACATTAAATTATATGAATAACATAAAAATAATTACTTAAAAATTGAATTAGAATAATCAACGATATTTTAGCGAATATAGTTACAAGTAAAATGCTATTACGCCGCTAGAATGCGGAGGGAAAATTTGCCAAGGGATTTGGCGACGGAACCTGGCGGCCAGAATTTCCCTCTCCGCGATGTGTACAGGAAATTGAGAAACACGTGTTAAGAAGAAACGCTCTTTGACAAAAAGAAAACTACGAAAATCCGTTTTTAAATTATTGCGAAAAATCCAAGAAGAAACGTTTTATCAAAGGACGTTTCTTCTTGGATTTTTCGCAATAATTTTAGTAGTTTTTTTCGCAATAATTTTAGTAGTTTTTAGGATTTTCGTAGTTTTTTTTTTTTTTTTTTTTTTTCCCTGAAAATAACTAATCTATGAATTAATTTACTTGCGCCAAAAAATATTTTCTTTTCCTTTAGAGTTTAACCACTTGCGCTAAGACTAAACTTCACGGTTGCGGTGCCGTGCGCTACAATATAACAAGCCGTGAAGTGTCTCATTTACGCCGCTCCGCATCTGCGAGTGCAATCCAGAGCTGTAACTCGAGAAATAAACAATCTCGTTGTTAGGCGACGTGTGCACCACGTTATTTTCATTTTTGCGATAAATGCTTATCGACGTGGTGTTCACGTCGCTCGCGGTTTGAGACAAAAGCATCTTGACGTGCGTGGCACGTCTTTTTAGCGCAAGTGGTTAAAGAAATTTTAAAACGATATTCATTTTATGAACTCTTGATAACGTGACCTTCGAACTTCGACACCGGTTTCGAGCTTTGGCGACAGATATATCAGACATGCACAGCTGTTTTCCCTCTATGATGGAACGGAGCCACAGCCACGTCTGTTGCAGAGAGGTTTTCCTTCTTTACAATACATATTCTTTGATTCTAACCTCCATGGTACAGTATACTAGGATTAAACCCATTTTGTTTTATACGAGAACAGGTACTTTCTTTAGTTCATGCACTGCACATGCGATTCTCGAAAATATTGGAAACCAAAAGTTGCGGGAAAGTTGCTTTGCCTTTCTAAAAGACAATCAAATTGGAACTGCGAAAATTGGCTCTATGCCAGCTAGCCGAATGACACTCACGTGATACATAATTCGCCAAAAAAGTTACCTCTTCCGACGTCGGCGCAAAAATCGCTTTTTTTGGCGGGATCGTTGTATGAACTTCCCTGACTTTTCCAGATTTTGACAAAAATACTTAAATTCCCTGACTTTTCCCTGAATATTTTGGTCAATTTTCGAATTCCCTGACTTTTCCCGGTTCTCCAGGTAGTGTGGCAACCCTGAATGTAGCTTGAAATTACCGGTGTGCGTTAAACGTCGGAAAATAGTGTTTGTTTTACATTTATTTGTACAGTTATTTGGTAAAGTGTGCAATTTGCACAATAGGGTGAGTGAAACTAAAGATATGGGACCTCGGATTCACTCAGTTTGGTAGAACTTCGGAAAAACCTTGTCGAAGCTGGGTAAAATATAGCACTATGTAGCGATTTTTCGAGCATTTCAAATTTTTACTGGAAACAGACACAGAGATAAAAACAATTTAGGATGTCAGAACCCTTCAGACAGCAGCCGCATTAACTTTCACGAGATATCAATCATTGAGAGTTAGTGAGTTTGATTTTCATCCCACTGGAGCATCCGTACAACTTTAATACATTTATCATCCAGCCTTGAATATTTGTTAATATTTTCGAACACTTTCTCTTGCTTTACTCCTGAAATAAGCGCATAATGCATTGTTTATATATAACATTAAGATACTTACATCAATTAATGCTGTTATAATAGGAAGGAAGAAAATGTATCTTCAGACAATCATGTGATTCAAAATTATAATGATTTCCGCTAAAAATCGATGAGAACAAGGTATTTTGTAACGGGGGATTCAAATGTCAGCATCATAATTGTTCAAAAAATTTATATTTCATTGAATTTGCATTGGACAGCAATGCGATTTGCCTCAAAAGGTCATATGGTCAAAAGTGGTAATGATAGTTCCACTGAGATCATTCAATGGTGGTTTGATAATTCCAATTTTTAATCTCTCAATTTTCTCCAAAAATTCAGGGTAGCAGTTGCTCACATTATATAATACAGGGTGCAAGAACATAAAAAAAAGTCCAGTGCTTATCTTTTTCCCCCATCAGTCTAGGAATTCATGCCTTTTTGTAAAATGCGAATTATTTTTTACCAAATAAGTTAACTTGTGATATTGACAGTTCAAAAACTGAGCCATAGATTCATGCTTCCATGATGCAGTTCCATGTAATGAGTATAACTATAACCACAAATTCACATTATAAACTTTTATTTAGAAAATAATAACAATTTTATACACATCTACTCTAATTGCATTACTCTTTATTGTAATTTTGTGAATACAAATTTTTTAAGTGTTTAATCAGTTCTGAAAACTAGGAGAAATTAGAAATTAGTACAGTTTTTTTATTTCTATTGTGAAAACTCTGCATAAGAGTTATAAATGAAGACATCAAATTTAACTGAGAAAAGTATCCACTTTTATTTGACTCAATATACATTTCTTAAAATGAAAAAAACATTTAATAAATCATATTGTAGTTTTTATACAAAAATTCACATATATTATCCCATATCTTGCATATATATGTACACAGTATACATTGTGTATGAGCGTGCATGTATATATACAGGTATCAATATCTAGTAATATATATTCATTTATATGTATCTTACTAGATACTTTAATACTTGTAGTTGCAATGTAACAACGTGATAGCTTATTCATAGACTTCTTTTCATTTATTTATTATTCTATGCCTTTTTTTTATTATTTTTCTTACTTTACTCAAGAATTAATGGCTAAAGCACAAGAATAATCAGAATTCCAATTTTGCATGCAATAAACTCAAAAAATAACATTACAACAAATTTTTCATTACTTGCAAAATGTAAGTAATCAATCACATTAAATATCTTTAATAGAAGACAGAAAAAACCATTTCATGGACTATTACTAAATTTCAATACATGTTCTCTTACAGAAAAGAAAACTTTGGAAGCCTGGACTCCTTCTGGAAGACTCTGGGAGGCACAATTATGCTAATAATTATGAACAAGTTAATTGCATTATGAAGTTAGCAAATATTGCCAATTAATATGTAAAAAGGAAAGCACAAATATTTCCCTCTAACTTCAATAATTTTAGCTATGCCATGCAAATCTAAGCCAATGTGTCTATCAGAAAAACAGAAAATAATAAGAAAATTAATTGAAATTAGACATAATTTTGAATTTGTTACTAAAATTAAAGTTTTATTCAGAAAATAATGAAGAAGTTTATTAAAAACAGTAAGATGTATATTTACATCGCTGGTGTTTTCTCCCCAATTCAGAAAAAAACATAGTCTTTTCATATGCCAACTCAATAAAAAATCGAGATATTAAATGAAAAATATAATAAAAAGTTCATAAAATATGCACATAAAACAATTTTAAGGGGAGCTGCTCTACCATACAGCTTAAAGAATTTTCCATCTGTATTTCATCATTTTTCTGAATATTATTCTAGCACCATTAGAAACATGAAGTTACAAAAATTATTACGACTGAAATTCATAGAAATACAACTTTGATTCACAAGAATCTCAAGAATCCATACATGAGAATGTTAAAGTGCTATTTTTTTCAAAAACAAAATATAGAGCTAAAGACTTTCTATCAATAAAATGGTGTGTGTGTGTATAGACAGAGAGAGAGAGAGGGAAAGGACAAATCAAAAATGGATTTTGATATGCTTTTATGTTCATTATGAATGAGCAGCCACAAAAGTCATTAAAAATCAAAACCACATTTCTAATCCTGACTGTGGATGAACTTACCTTAATTATGAAAATCTGAAACAGAAATTAACTCAACAAAAGTTACTTTCGACAAAAATCACATCCACAGCTGGAACTATTCCAGCGTGGTAGCCAATGACTTTTTGAGAGTGCTTATGCTTTTTCCGACCACCATATATGGCATTTTCTTTGCTAGCTATGTTGATTTTCCCCCTGCCACCATGCTGATGCATTTCAAACTTTGAATGTGATCTATGATAAAAGTTGTTGCTGTATAAACCTAATTTTTATTTTAAATCTTGGTTATTAAATAAAGTTCGTGCAGGGCTGGAATAAGAAGCATTGTTTTGATTATTTATGTGGCTACTTCTGAAGATAACCTCAAAAACATATCTAAATCCACTCCTCAGATTATTAAGAACTTTTTGTTTTAATTTTCTCACTAAGGAAAAAATTCCTTTAATTTTCTCTTCTTGAAGTTGCGAATTTAATTTAAATTTCTGACATTTCTTTATTTTTGCACTAACTGCAGCAAAAGACGCACTTTTGATGAATTAATTTTGTTTCTATTCTATTTGAATCAATTCTAAATTGTCCACACACATACACACCATTACTGAAATTTTGAATACTTATTCATGCACTTTATGTCACAGGAAATGCTTATAAATAGGTTAAAAGAAATGTGTGATTAATTAATGCTATTCAGTGCATAAAAGACTTCACAATTCTGAAATATAATTTTTGACACTAGTTAACAAACTAGTGAGTGAATAAAAGAAAATGAAGTTTGTTTTATCCAGAAAGTAAGAAATCCAAGGGCTTATTGATTATATATAACTGATTATTTTCAACTCATAAAAATATAAATCTCAAAAGTCTCAATAACAATTGATAATATTCTAATAATAACATGAAATATAACCAACTAAACAAATCAGTTTAAATAACTTCCTGTGCAAATATACTATATCAAAATTATTTTATTAGCATTAAAAGACTCATACATTTATACGAATGCACTGAAGAATGCAATTTGTGTACATTGTAAAATTAAACAGCAGTTCTTGGAAAGCTTATAAATATAACAAATATAACAATACTAAAAATCAGGAACACAAGTCACTAAAAATGTTTTCCACCAAGATTCTAAAACACATACTTTAATTTTCTAGCTGCAATATATGATTGATAAATTTAAAATTAGATAAATTTTTGAATTAAAAAATTTAAATGCATATTTTAGAATCTGAGAAGAAAGTGTTATTGTTTTTAAATGCCATAATTACAAAAAATACATCTCTCTGCATGCCTATAAGAATACAGTTGCTATCATCAGACACATCAAAATTTATATGTGTATACTTTTCAAAACACAGAGTACATATTTTTTCATTGTAAATTAAATTCAGCGATCTACAGAAACTTGGAAACCCAGAGAGAGATGTGGATCTAAAACAAAACAGACATATTGAAACAGAAATTAAGTATTTCAAGAGAAGAAGACATAAAAATTATTGAGTGGTTCTAAGAAAAGATATTTCTTAAACAAAGTTATTATTAGCAACAGTTTTAAAAAAGTCTACACAAAAAACAAAGACATGAGTCAATAACAAACATTAAAAACATATAGCATACTTTAAAAACTACTTGGATGCTAAATTTAAGCCAAGATATATTATTTGTATCCACTAGCATTTACATAAATTATCAAAGATGCTAGACAAGTCAGACTAAGACATAAAAATCACCACACAAAAAGGCAGTTACCTAATTGACACAAAACTTAGTACAGATCATATAAATCTACTGAAACTGTGATTACAGTCTCAGAAAATTCGTTATCTATTGAAAAGAAAAAGCTACACAAAGTGAGCAAGTCAAAAGGCATTGGTCCATCTTTGGCGATGCAATCTGTTATCCAGTATGATATTAACTCATAAAGTTGGCATATAATATACGAATCACTACATCTTATCTTGTTTGTTTGCACTTTGACAGCTCTAAACTAGTACTGTGAAAATTTGCAAATATTACGCTAATTTTGGTTGTTTGATTTCCAAATTAATATTTGTTCAGTATGTTATTTTACCTAATTACAGAAGTGTATGTTAGAAAGGTTATAGAAAATATACCAATGTTTAGACAAAATGGAAATGTTTCAACTAGAAATAGAAAAAAATGAAGAGCTACCAAGTTTTAAGAAAATTAATAAAAACTGGATGGCCAGATACAAAAGCATGGTTCCAGCACTAGAAAAATGCTATTTTAACTTCAGAGAACTATCATATGCAAATGGAAGAAAGTTTATGGAAATATATGTTAAGCAGAATTCATTTATGAGAAGAAAAATGTAAAAATAAAGCAAGACAAATATTATACTGGCCAGGAATGTCAAAAGAAATTGAAGATTTGGTTCTGAATTGTCTATTTCATTTGAGTTCCCAAAAAGCTAATAGTAAGGAACCAATGATATCTAAAAATAATATCTAATGGTCCATGGAATGTACTGGGAAATGGATTTCTTATTTTCAAAGCAGAGACTATCTAATGGTTACAGACTATTTTATCAAATATATTGAAATCAGACATTTGGAAGATTTGTCAACTGGAGCAGTGATAAAAAAGTTAAAATCATTTTTTGCAAAGAATGGTATCCGAAAAATAGTACGTTCAGATAATGGTCCACAACATAATTGAAAGGAATTCAAAAAATTTGCAAAAAAATGGAATTCTGAAACCAGAACTTTAAATCCAAATTATGCACAATCAAATGAAATGATTGAAAAACTTATTCAAACAGTCAAGCGAATGTCAGAAAAATTGTAATTAACAACAAGGAGCGCATTTAGTGTTGCTGAAATATCATAAACTCTCCTATTTTAGCTGAAATTAAGCCCCCATCAGAATTAATGTTTTGAAAGAAGTGAATGTTGTGATGCCTATAAAAGAGAATTTCATCCAAAACAACACGAAGAAGAAAAGCAACATTTACTGCAGAGAAAAGCGTTACAAATATTGGAAGGAAAGAAAGAAAATGTTGAAGTCATCTAGAAGACTAGTCTACAGAGTTGTTGGATTACCCATTCTTCACCAGATGTAATATTTCAACTGAGAAAGTTATAAACTTTATTGCCACTCTTCCAATCAATTGCTGTTGCAGTATTGTGAATATTTATATGATTTGCTAACTTTTAAGACATGTACATTTGTAACGAAGATGTTTGGTTATATTTACTTTCAGTAGTTAACGTTTTGTAGTTAAATTCACATTTTATTTTAAATATGACTAATTTTTTTGTGCATACACGTATCTTTCATGATTCCCCTCCCACTCAATATCAAGACAAGCATAGGGTGTTAATATCCAAGACTATAGGCTGTATTAAGTAATTCAGTGGAAATAAACATTTTATATGGCTGAACTAAAAAACTTCACGAATTAGCTCTGCAGCATGCCAACAAATCGCATCACAATGTTGCACTAGCATCTTTAATGACCTTGTATCTTCATAAAGAACAGTGCAAAGAAACACTGCTGTGTCAATATCTAGAGTAATTATAGTAGTGTTTTTATAACTGAAAGTGTGATAGTCTGCAGTATATCATGGATAGACATGGGAAACAACAAGCCAACACCAAACTCTGTGATAAAGGTAAACTGGCCACTCAGGCATTAAATATGCCTCAGCCATGAGTCATATGCTATGCTTTGGGTCTCACAAGGACTTAAAAAATGGAAAAACATCTCTTGAACGTGTGTATTTCCCACACACCGAGCACTCCTCCCTTATTCATGCATTCACGGCAACCACAACATATTGCTTTGTATATGCTTTACTCATCACACTTAGCTTCTGCTGATTTCTTCCTTTTCCCAGATAAAGATGCATCTGATAGGTAACCATTCTCACAATGCTACCAGGATCCATGATGTAATTGCATAGAACCACACATACCTGATCACAAAATCACCATTGTATTAACATGTAGTATTAACATAGTAGATACGTTTCTTTGCACACTGCATTATCAAGACTCACTATAGCTGCCAGTACAACCTTTTCTTGTTCCCGTTTGTTGACATGTTACAGAGATAATTCGGGAATTCTTTAATCCAGTTGTGCATATAAATTCTACATACTGAAGAGTCAAGAACTATAAGAGCCCTTTCAGAAATTAGTGAAAATTTGCATTTCTGCAGAAATCCGAAGTGAATAAATAATAGTACCTTAAAAGGGATATAGAAGGTCTACTTAAATTCACGGTGATTACAAAATCATGTAGTTGATTAAACTGATGTGTTTATCAACCGGGTGACGTTACTCTCAATGACTAATGACAGTGTTTTTTCATTCCTGGCCAAACCTTTAACCCTTTCCGGCATGCTACCTTTTAAAGTTGGAGTTTTGTTTTTTAAAAAAAGGTAGGCAGTCTCATTAGGCCTAGAGGAATACACAAATAAAATTTTGTGAAGATAGCACTTATCGTTTTGTGAAGATAGCACTTATCGTTTAATTCTGTGGGTGTGTCCAAAGTGGGCACACTGAATGAATAGAGCTTTGAAAAGAGTGCTGAAACGAGCATTGTTGTCAATGAACTGACCAATGAGATGCGGAGAAACAAAGAATACAGACTCCCAGTTGTCCTAGATTATCGGTGAGCCTGGTCTGGGCACACCTAAGGTTCGCCGTTTGACTTTAGGCAAGATTTCGAGGTAAAAATTTAAAACTAATATAGAATAAGGAGATTAGCATACAGCCAAAAACATAACATAGAAATTTCTTTTCAAACAATTCCTTTTATACCCTAAAAAAGATCTGGAAGATTTCTTTGAAAAATGAGGGTCTTAAAACCTAAACATGGCTAAAATATATGGACTGATTTGTGTTGAGCTGCCATCTACTACAAATAAAGAAGGTTCAGAGTAACCTATAAATCCTTTTTCATTCAATTTTTCTGTGAGTACCGAAAGAAATTTTTAGGTGTGTTCAGACCGGACACACTGTGCTGCGAAGGGTTAATGCACCAAAGAACTTCCTGGCCAAACCTTTAATGCACTAAAGAACCTTGGGTTTTTATATACCAAAGCTCTGTGGTTGCATGCAAGTGTATTCAAAACTCTGTGGTTGCATGCAAGTGTATGCAAAAAGAATGTGTTTGGCAATATCGACACCTATAGTTAGTTCTCATCATCGAGGTTTCTGACATTTTTCATTTTATGGTGTTTCCTGGGTCTCAAATAGAAAGTGTGAAGTAGTGTACTGTCTTTCTGATGAAAGTGTAGCTTATAACCTCATTAGGTGACAGTATTTCAATATCAATAGAAAAATTATTAATTATTTTACATCATCACAGCTGGAAAAACTGTAAAGTGATAATGTTTCTGTAAAAGCAAAAGATGTATCAATGGTCATGCGCGATACAGGGTCAACTCTAGACCATATGGAGAGTAAGCACTTGTGCCTATGATCTGAGGATCTTCCTAAATGTTTGGATTTTAATAAGAAAAAGTAATTGTGTAATAAATATGACTAGTTAGTGGTCCAATATTAAAAAAAAAAAAACTTGGTTGCATAGCTTTCAAAAAGCATAGCATAATGTCAGGAATAAACATTTCTTAACAATGGGCTCCGGCATCAATTAATATTACAAGTTACAATAAATCTTCAGATACTTTCTCTTCAAAGGAAAATTTTCAAACACAAAGAAAGCTCAGTTCATCAAGAAGCTCCTTCAGTACTGGAAATAACAAAACGTAAGTCTTTGGAAACTGCATAGACCAATAAGAAGGAAGTGGCATACATTATATTTAGAACAGCATACAAAGTAGTTAAGAGAAATAAAATGTTTCATGATTTTGAAGAGGAATTTGATGAGCAAAAGCTGAATGAATCCAATAAGGACCATATCTTACATTTAATTAAATGGATATATTAATACTGTGAACCATACTGCAGTAGAAATAATAAGCATTGTCATTAAAACATAATATAGTTGAATAATAAAATTGCCCACCTTGTTCATGAAAACACTACAGTAAGTCATCTGTTCTCTCATTATCGTTTCATGCAAAAATGTTTTCAGACATGAACGAAGTACCAAACTCTTCATAGCTGGAACAGAACTTAAGAATGATTCTGTTGAAGGAATGTTCAAGTCATTTATGATCTGCTTAAGGGAACTTGTTTTTCATTGTGATTTCTTGGAGGACAATCCTATGGCATTTGCGACTGATGAGACTGCATTAATACTTAAAAGGTGTATGACACTACGTAAACATCAGTTTCTCAAAATCTTACTATGGCACTCTGCTACTCACAGATTAGCACTGTGTCAGATGTAATACAGACCGATTCTCCATCATAAGAAAACCACTTCAAATCCTTCATTGTTAAACTGTGTATTTTGTATCACCAATTCTTTAAAAATGTAATGGAATTAAAATGCATGAAACAGCTTAACACTGAAATACACTGCTGGCCATTAAAATTACAGCACCATGAAAGGAAGCAAATAAAAAAAGATATTTATTATACATAAAAAATATGGCAAATGGAAAAAATTATTAAATTTGCAAGCAGTTTAGTGCACAAGGGTGTGAAATTAGTAGAAACAGCTGCCACTCCTGACAGCTAAAATGGCCCTTACCCGATTAGGCATGGAGTCGAACTGGGCTTGGATGACAGAAACAGGCAACTCATTCCATGCTGCTTTAAGTCTATGTCACACTTTATCAATCATATTAGCTGGAGAGGGGTGGCGGGCCAGTCTCTCAGCCACCCATGACTAGATGTTTTCACTGGGTGACAGATCTGGAGACCATGACGGCCAAACCAGCAATCAAATACCAAGTGTATCGAGAAAGGTCAGAACATGATGTGCAACATATGGTCTTATATTATCTTGTTGGAAGATGTCGTTTTGGCAGGCCTTGAAGGTAGGGCACAACCACTGGATATAAAATATCGGAAATGTATGGCTCTGTGTTCAAATTACCTTCGATCCGGACTAGGAGATGTGCACGTCGTGTACCCAATGGCTATCCAAACCATCACACCAGGTGCAGAGCCTCTATACAGATATCAAATGCAAGAAGGAAACTTTCAGTCACCTCAAAGCCTCTAGACACGTATACGGTAATCAGCATACTGCCCCCAGAACAGGAACTCATCTGAAAATATGAGATATTGCTACTCCTATATCAAATCTTGTCATTCAGTGCACCAGAGTTGTCGTCTCTCTATGCGGCATTGAAAAGGGAAGCCAAAGTAATGGTCGCCATTCTGATAGTCCATGCTGCTGCAAAGCTCGACACACCCTACAAGCGGATACTGGCTAATGGTCTGTAATGTGGTTGTACAGTTTTGTTGGGCTGGCCGCACAATCTGTCTGTCCTCTCGAGTATTAGTCATGGATCCCGCATGCTGTTCAGTATGACCCTCATCAACCCACTGATTCTATATTCGCATGACAGTGGTTGGATGTCGACCAGTGTGATAGGCAATATCACGGAACAATAATCCACACTCACGATAGGCAACTATCCTGCTGCCTCTATCGAATTCCGACACTTGCTGGTAAACAATTCTTCTTATTCAAGACATTACATGATATTCTGAGCAAACTTTGACCTTACAAAGCACCTTCCAAGTGATAAATCCACTACATAACTTTCTTTTATACAGTGCTTCAAATGTAGTTTCTCCCTCCTGTGTCATCTAAATGCGTTGAAATATAATCATTTGCATATCCCAACCTCTTCTTCCTTTCATGTGATTTTGATGTTCGTCAGATCATTCCTTCCTAGTGTTGCAATTTTAATGGTCAGCAGTGTATTAAGAATTGGGAAGATTTTACATGCTGTTTGGCAAAGTTTCAAGAACAGGCTTTAGTTACCCATTTGAAAAGTGTTAAAGCAGGTAGGTACAGAAATAGAACCAAGAGAAATTTGAATGAACACTACTACAAAAAATCACAAATATTGATAGCAATTTAAATCTCGTTTTGATGTATATTTGTCTTCAAAAATTATCAGAATTTAGTACAGAACTGCAAGTATGTAATATCACAGTATAGTCTGCTCACAGCAAATCACCAATCAAATTAAATTGATGAGCGAAAGACAAACATTGGACCTTATCATCTAAAAGCCTTAAAAAAAATTTGGACATTAAACCAATTTCACTTGAAAATTAGGAAAAATATCCACATGAAAACCATCTCGAGCCAGTAAAATTTTATGTAAATCTGAAAGTTTGGATGAAGAGCTGACCTTTAACAAGAGAAGATGTTTAAGTTCAATACTGTATTATAAAAGTTGGACAAATAATCGCCCTTTAACCTTTTGTGAAGCAGAAACCATGAACCTGTGTGACAGATTTGAACTTCTCGATGATAAATCATAAGGATGTTTTCCAGAATTTCTTTCCGAAAAGAAGATTCATAATTTTTATGTCTCTTCATGGCACAATCAAGAATGTTCTTATTTCAAGAATTGAGTATGAACTTGGATTCTTACAGATGAATGTAAGAGGGTCTTCCACAAAAGCTTTTTATAAGTTTGGTAGGTCTTTCTTTGGGTTTATTAAAGCCTTTAGTGCATATTCGTGGTTTTTTAAAGGACAACATCATGTGACAGATACCAAAAGCAAGCACAGTAATCTGAAAAAAGTTTAGTGAATAAAACCTCGTGTCAATAAAATACTGTGAACTGTGCAATGTGAAGAGTAATTCATGTTTTTGATAAAACATTTTGTCCATTGATTGCATATTTTTCCCCAATTTGAACTATAAAATGATAATTTTCTTCAGCCAAGCTAAGAGTCACCCCAAACACTTTTTTTGGGGGAAAAGAACTGCCTTAAAATAAACTACTACTTTAAATATTTTAAATTCTAAAAACATCTCAAAATTAGCATATAAAATCAAAATATATTTTTTAATTTCCATAAGAATTACGCACGATTTAAATATCTTTTCAGTAAATGGCATCAAATTTTAATCTCATTTAGCTCTATTAAAGATTTGATGAGATCAAAATTTATATTACATATAAAGAATATTTCATATACAAAATTTTCTTACCAATAAATTCAGTTCAATCCACCAAGACAAATATACTTCATATATACGTATTCATCAATACCATAACGAGAACCTTCTCTTCCCATCCCAGATTCTTTTATACCACCAAATGCAGCCTCTGCAGTAGATATTATGCCTTCATTTACACCAACCATACCATTTTCAAGGCATCTAGAAACTCTCATTATCTGAGCAAAGTCTTCCGAGTAAAAGTAACCTAAAACAGAATAAAAATATAATTCTAAAATTAAAGGCAAAAAAGATAGCATATAGCAATATATTTTAAATGACTAAAAGCATACGGCCAGATAACAAGTTACTCCACATATATGGTCCCTTTTTCTTTCTCAGTTATTTATTCATTTAATTTACTTACTTTTTTTGTGTCAGTATTCATGGAAGAAGGTCAATAAACTGCACCATTCTGAGACTGTAGTTTTAGTCTATTATTACTTTCCTTTATAATAAAACCTCTCAGCTCCCAAAATGAGTTCATCTTTTGAATCTCATTAAGGTTTTGCCATAATATGAGGTAATTCCAAATTCTGAATTTCCTTATTCTCTCCCTTAATATAGCATGCAATACAATTCTCATTTAAAGAATAAACTTTAGATCTCTTTCAAAAAGAGATATACAGTCAAAAGTTGTTAATTCGGACACACATAATCCGGAATGATCCATAATTCGGACCTCAAAGCTACAAACTTTCTGCGCATGCGTCGCGTTGACGCATACGCGTAAGACCTTTACGGCTTGGAATATGCGTGTGCGCATAATACGTTTACGCATGCACGTTTAATGTATAACGGACAGTATAAGCTAAGCTAAAATTATCTAATTCAGTTAATGTTGCAGATTGTGTTGTTCCTTAATCTTCGGGATCCGGCTTATTACTTTTTGCAGACTGTTAGAGCAATTTTATAAAAGCAAGCTTGAACTTTCGAGTATGTCAAATAGAATTTCCGATATATATTTACCTACTAATATGTAAAGGATCTACAAAGCGAAAGTATGTTTCAAAGTCCATTAAACAAAAAGTTAAATTGCTGCAAAAAATGTATAAAAGCATATCCTTTATTTCTCTAACCATTCCGAAATCTGTTTATAAATTTCACGCTGCTCTGCGGGGGGGGGGGGGCACATCGCGGCGAGCAATGAACTGGAAGTTGATCTGTCAGCACTATCCTTATCTTCAGAGCAGATGTTTTTATTTTATTTGGCTTATAATTCCTTACTAAATGTAGTATTTCATCTGGATGTACTTCGTCTTTGATATCATTTAAATCAAATTCCTCATCATTATAATTCGCTTCCGATAGTGAAGAAAGTGACATAGAGGTTATTGAAAACGAAAAAATTTCGATTGACAAATTAGTCGGTATTCTCGACACAGCAACTATAGGACTTGAACAGCGGAACTTTGTAACTGAAGAAGAAATTATGTCTTATTATAGAATTAAAGAGAAATTACTCGTATTATCACATAAAATGAAGCAACTTAAACAACTTACATTGAAAGAAATGTATAATAAAGTAAACAAATAAATATTAAGCTTTTTTTTTTTGTAAATTTTGATACCCTTTAGATCATAATTGTTTTTTATTTCATAAATTACGGTTTCATATTTTTAATTTTATAATTTCTGCATGCCATCTTACCATATTTAAACTGATGATCTATAATCCAGAAAAATCGATAATCCGGAATCCCCGAAGTCCCGACGAGTCCAGATTAATGACTTTTGACTGTACTTCATATATACATATTCATCAATACCATAATGAGAACCTTCTAACTATTCTAATTAACCTTCTCTTCTAATTATTTCTTAGTATGAAGCATACAGCCCCTGCTTTTTGCTATCTTAATTGAAATGTCACAGATGAAATCAGTTTAATAATCTTGACATTGCAATCAAGAAGTTAATGATCCTCACTTTTGTGTTTAGATTCTGATTCTGTAATTAACAGCTAACTCAGTTACATGTTTTGAAGAGTTTAATGCTTTATCCAATTCCAGAGGACAGCCTTAAGAATAAAATATTTAAAAAAAATTATTATCTTTGAGATAAAGATAGCCACACAGATTTAAAAAAAAAGCGCGGTTAATTAATTCCTATGAAAAAATCATTAATAAAGTTTGTTTCGTTTAAGGAGTGGCACATTCAAATGGCTTCTCAAAACACTATTCTTGTTGTGAAGGTTATATTCTCATTCAGTACAAAATCCAAAAACATAAAATTTCCTGCTTAGTGAATCATCAATTTTGAAAACCTTCTAAAAGTTGTAGAATTTTTATTATTTTAAACAATCAGTTATGATTTACACCTGTACTGTCACTTCTTTCCATTTCCATGCCAGAATGCAAGTTATCTCGTGTGTATTTAAACTGAGGTTTTTAGGTTGTAAGACAGAGCATGTTCTACCTATAAAATGCCATGTTATTAAGTTGCTGCTAACTCAGATAAAATTTGTAGTCTTTGGCCTTGCATTATAATAGCTCATTTTTTAATACCTATGCCGGTTAGGTTCTGAGCAATTTTGTGTTAAATGAATTGTGCAGCTTTGAGCAGCCTTCAGATACTAGCTTACTTGAATTAAAATTTTACGTTCGACGATTGCTTTAAGTTACATCACCACTGGTTGGCTGAGTTGTACGTATCGAGAGTGTCTTCTGTTCTTTACTTTTAATAAAAAAAAAAGTGTCTTTTACACCCTTTTAAAGGCTCTGTTGTTATTTTAGACTTAACGATTCACTGTCAGTCCATCAAGAGTTGGTTACAATAGATGATAGCTAACAGGATTGCAAAACTACATAAATAATTCATGCAACCAAAGTCAAATCGACAATTATTTAAAATTAAAGTACAAACAATAAATAAGTACATAAAATATTGCTTCTTGTCTCGATATCAGACTTTGATTTTAATAAAAAAAAAAACTTGAAGATGATGTTAGATCTTTAGAAGTCCATTTTAGAAGTCCCTTCACTCAATAAGTCACTTTTAAATCCATTACAAATGATATGTTTTTAAGCAATAGATGATCAAATTTATAATATTTTGAATTATTTAGTAAAATTAGATTTTTTTTTAATCTGGAAAATTTCAAGAATGATTGATACACAAAATCTTTTCAGTAATTATTATAGTATTTCAGACATAAATTGTTAATTTATAAGAGAAGAGAAAGGCAAACTGATTAACTTGAGGGTGCACTGTAATACTAAAAATACATTCATTATACTTTTTAAGTTGAATGTGAAAAGAAATCAAGTTATTAGGAATCATTATCTACAGAAATATTTTTAAAGATTTTCAGTCAAAATAATCAAATTTTTAAAGGTTTTTCACAGATATTCAATCAGTTGTACTCCTGATATAAAAATATATTTGAGTCATACTGAATATTATTGAAATATATTTTTACATTAGTAATAAAGTCTATCCATTTAAATTTAGTTTATATGGGGCTAAAAATGTCCAGTAGGATCAAAACATGAATAATGATAAATAATGGAAGATTCATACAGAAGTAAGTTTGCAATTTGTTTGCATTACACATATATATAAATTCAACACTAATCATACTTAAGATCCAGCGGGTCTTATTAAATTTCAAAGGGGCTGTGGCGACATCATTCACATTGATAAAGCGCCATCTGTGAAACTCCTTGCATGCAATTTTCTTTTCGCTAGAGTGGCAGCAGTAAACCTTCAAGAAGAAAAAGGACAATGACCGATTTTCTGTCTGTGTAATTCTATATCCAAAAATGTAAATAAATATTAATGTTATTGGAGTCAGAACAGTGTTTAACATTTCCTATGTTCCAAACTTCCACACTGGTTTACTGGATGTGATCCAATTCTACTTATGAAGTGTAAGATGGAAAACGAAAGTACAATGTTTCTGTAATGTTACGAGATGTCACTGACATTATACGCACGTTATAAATAGTCACCTGTTATTGAATATATGTTACGGACAGCATCGGAAGCAGCTACTTACCCATTTTTCAAAAGTTCCGCAGTTTTATTTACTGAGTTCGACAGTGGATTGAGTGATAGTTTCAAAGTGTTTCTGTTGCGCATGGATTACATCAAGAATTCATGGTTCGATTGGTTTGATGCGTCTGTGAAATATATATTCCAAGCGTACGTGGGACTGAAATACTTCTGAAATGGTAAGTCAACTTTAAAAATTTAAATTTTGTTCTATATTGCAATATGTTTTAAGCGGTAATATATGCAATTAGAATTTTCAGAATGCTTTAAATGTGTCAGGAATAAATGAACTAGTTTTTACTAAGCAAACTTTACCTGGAAAAGCTTAAGCTATGGGAAAAAAAATAAAAAACTGGATTAAGTTACCTACCTGTTTACCATAATCGATAGATTCACTTGGTGGATCAACGTGTGTACCTGTGGATGACCAAACCGCAGTGTCCATCGCATATGCCTTCATCACGACTTGAATTTCGAGATTTGGAATACCAGAGAAGACAGCATCTGACCAAAGTCGACAATTTGACAGCCAACTTTTCAGATTCTTGAGCAAACACCTAGGCTTCAAAGCTAACAGCACCCCAGCTTATCATCCACAATCTAAATCGAACCTTGGTTTAATCGAAATGGCACCATCGAACCTTGAAAAACAGCCTAAAATTCCACCTGCAAATGTCAAATTCTTGGACTAACATTCTACCTTTGATTCTCCCTGGCATTCTATCCACCATTAATGAGGATTTGCATTGTTCTTTTGCTGAACTGCCGGTTCACCAATCTGTTTGCCTGGAGAATTTTTCAGTTATGTCCCCACTGTTATGCATTTAGTCATATCCAAAACCTAAAACCAACACCCAGCCATGAAAAAAAAAAAAAAAAAAAAAAAAAAAAAAAATTGTGCACAAGGACTTAGCAAATTGCTCACATGTATTCATCTATAATAACATAATTTCATCTTCTCTTCAATCACCCTATCTCAGACCATATGTAGTTAAAAAAACGTTTTGAGAAATTTTTCGATGTGGAAGTAAAATTAAACGGATATAGATAGATAGGCTGAAGCCATGTTTCAGTCTCAAAGATGAAATAACAAATCTCCAGACACATGAAACTGATAACTCCAAAATCTCACCTTCCACTTCTTGGAGACAACGATTCTTCCAAAGATATTCATCCTAGAAACACGAAAGCTGGACGAGGGGTGAGATTTTC